AAGGCCATATACTCTGTAACCTTGCTTGGCTGACACTTTCTACAGATGCTGTTAATGAGATGGTAAAGACATAGCAGCTGATTCTGGACCACTTTCTCCAGCCAAAAAAAAGAGCTGTAATGAAAGAACCAGGATGGCTGGATCGTGTGTGCCCAGGTACAGGACTGGGCAGAGGGCAGTAGAAGCAGTGGTCACAGTGTGTGGGTGGTATCAGTGTAGGGAGCTCAGAAAGCCCCAGAAAAGCTGCTAAGTAGACTGCTGTTCCTGACTGTGGCTTTGCCAGCCAGCTGAACAGATTGCTGGAGCATAAGAGCAGCATGCAGCAATAGGGAAGGGAGTGAAAAGACACAGCGTGGTGGATGCTGTGGAGTAGCGCGTGAGAGCTCCCTGATTTATTTGTAAACTAATTGTTAAGCTTCTAATCAGTGCTGTAGAAAACAGGAAAAAATTGGTTTCCTGCCTAACCAGCTTATTATTCACATAACTGGACGGCATGAGGAGTAATTGTAGGAAATGTTTTCCATAACTTCTCTCTGCCCCGGTCTCTGCACTTTCTGAAGGGATAGAATCAACATGCGGTAAAACCAGTGTGAGCTTTGCACATTGATCTCAACGCTGTCAAAATCCAACCTTTTGGGGATTACCCATGTGGACCAGTCCTCCAACCCATAATACTGAGATAGGAACAACAGGAATACAGGGAAAGTGTGGGCAGAATAGCTTTGGAAGCCGTTCATTCCTTGCCCTGCCACTAATAAGGCACAAATGCTGGAACAAAAGGGTTAAATGCAAGTTGTGCTCGGATAAACAAATCTATGGGAGATAAAGCAGTTGCCATGCCAGCTGACATGAAAGCAGCCAGCACAAATTTGGCATGAAGGAGACCATCTAAAAGGCTGCGCTGAGCTCCGAGGCGCATCATACACAGGCTGTTTCTTGGCTTTAGCTTTGCCAGCCCTCTTTGCTCTAAATCAGAAGCAACAATTGCTTGCATCAAATTTCTCATCCATTGCAGGATAGTGAGGAGGTAGTTGTGTTTTCTGGGACTTAGAAAGTGAAAACCAAAGAAGAAAGTCAGATAAATGGGCAAGATCTGGATCTCTGCCACTAACTCTATGGGAAGCCATTGGCAAGTCCTTTGATTATCATTTTTTTCTTTCGTTTCACCTTTTCATGCAGAAATTTGAAATAAGCAATATTTTCTGTGTTTGATTTCTCTCTTGGCTCCTTGGAACCGATAATTCAGCGTTCCAATATATCTTCTCTAGGGTATCTAAGTAGTACTGCAAATAATATCTAATCAAAAATGACAGTTAAAGCACTAATGGAAGATTTGCTTTACTTCCCAAACAGTGACATCTATTCAGTCTGGTCAAACAGTGAATAACACTATCCATCAATATACTGGATCATAGAATCATAGAATGGCATAGGCTGAAAGGGACCTCAGAGATCATCTAATCCAACCTATATGGATAAACCATCCTTTCTCATGGATAACATCAGCTTCCTCAGGAGTTTATTGACTAATATGAGCAATTATTGATCTGAAAAACTGTGTTCTAAGACACTGTTTAATAGCTGCTGTTGGGTCCATCTTTCTGTAATTTAGGCTGTGTTATTATTTAACTACATGTGAGGTGTCAATGTAAGCCATTAATATAATCCTTGAATTAAAATCCTGAAAAATGGGTTTCCACTCAAAACACAGATAAAAAGCTTATTTTATTTATTCTTCATTTCTGGGAGAGTGATGCATTTCATCGAGCCTGTTGCATAATCACCTTGATGGGCTCTCTCTTCTTCATTAGGGAAGTCTAATGCACTAGTTTCTTTTTGTTTATGTCCTAAAAGTAAAGCAATTATAGGACTGTGTGAAAGTCAACGCAGTGAGGTGCCCTACAATTTTGCCCATTACATCACTGACAGTGAGGTAAATTTGCTGAGGTCACTCTAGAGTCAGAAAGGCACTCAGGTGAAAAAAAAAAAAACAAAAACAACAAAAAAAAACAAACCACAGAAGCACAGTTTCAAGGTAATAGTCTGAAAAATGACAGGGACTGCCCAACATCTGGACTTCCTACAACCCCAGCTCAAATGCAAGCTCAGGCTTTGTCCCTCTATGTGTAGACATGCTAAAAGTTAAGCATAGAAATAATAGAAATGAGCATCGTGCTCTCACACATGTGAGCAAAGATAACCATTGGCACAGTTATCTGCCATATAAACATCCCTATTCTGGTGCAGGGTGCCTAAACATATGGTGTCAGAGAGAAGGGCAGCAGCAGCATGCAGGAATTTAAAGCCAGATGGTGGCCGTATGGTCCCTCATTGTGCGTTTATATAGATATATATATATGCATCCACAGAAATATAATTGTATATGTGCTTATGTTATCCCAACACTCATTAGATGAACTTTGACTTTTAGTTGTAATTCAGGACATAATCTTCAGTGTAAATGATGGATCAAGCCTAAAAGCCTGTAGAGTAAATGATTGTACTGAAACTTTCTTCAGTACATTAGCAAGGACTCAGATGTAGAAAAATACAGTGATAAAAAGCAAGTCTGCTCCTACAGCAATCAGAAAATTAACATTATTAGAAATGTGAATCCCTTCATAGTGTCCGAACACAGATAAAAAGCGATAATAATTTGGGTATATATAAAAAAATATTAATAGAAAAAGCCTCTTCATTTTCAAAACCTAAATTAATATAGTGTTATGAAAATAAATAAAATCTAAAATTTTAACATCACTGTGGTCAACTACCAACCATATTTAGTGTGAAATAATCATAATTTTTATTTCTTCCTTTTTAGATTATAGGAATAAAGTAGCTAAATTTAAAGCATTTAAATTTCAAACAGTCTCTTTTTCTGGTCAATTAATGCAATATGCCAGGATAAGAGAAATATCAGGCTTCAATCTACTTAATATTGACCTGGTCTTCCTCCAACAAGAATTCTGGAAAGTTTGTAATATCACATTTCAAGATTTAAGCCACACTGTACAACAGGTAAACTAAAACTGCATTTTTATGAGTCCTCATTTTTTTTCTGAAAGTTTTTTGAGGCTTCTTCTTACCCTGCTTCTGTGGGGCAGGTTATTGAGTGAGGTGACCCCATGTAAAGAACCAGTTCCACTACAAGCTACTGACCTGAGTGGCAGCAAGCGATGAAAAGACGCTATGAAAGGCAATGATCAAGGAACAGTGGCTTGCTCTTTGATCTTCTGCCTAATAAAAGCACAAGTAAAAATTCCCACAGGATATTCTAAAGTTGATATTTTGAATTCAGATTTTAGCAACAGAGGCATCTATATCTGAGCTGTATCACTGCTAATAAACCTGGGATTTGGGAGGCTCAGGAGGGAAACAGGTCTGTCCAAAATAAGCTGCAGAGGCATCCCTGTTATTCTGCCAAGAATCTGGAGCACAGCCGTGGTGCGTTTGTAGTATCTGCTAATTTAGCCTGATGTAGCAGGTTGAATGATCTTCTCTGGAAAATGTTTGCTCAGAGCATCGGTAACTTCTCGTCAGAATTGGTACACTTAACTAATATTTGAAAACATCCAAGAATTCTCATATGTGAAATCCTGAAAGCAGCTGCAGTTGGGCGGAGAAGCCAGGAGGCCATACGTGTTCTCATCATGGCTTTCAGGATTAACCCTTCAGAGCCACTGGTGGGTTGAATGTGTAGGTTTGGAGTTGAATACATCGGTTCAAAGACAAAGTACCACCTGATGCTTCAGCTTTGTTTTCTAGACTCCTGCTATCATCTTCACACTAAATCCTCTATTGTATATCTTAGAAGATAAAAAGCACATCTGATTTGCTTTAGAAGAGAAAGAAATCAATGAAAATAAAATTATTATATGATAAGGAATTTGAAACAGTATAAAATATAAAATGCATTTTGCACTGTGCCGAAAAGATTCTTTACTTTTTGTTTCTTTAGATGCTGTCTTCCTCCTGTCCCATAGGATCAAAACCAATCTTTGTTTGGATTTTACTTTTCGTAAAAACCGTCTCGTACGAAGTGGTGAACAGCTTTTCCAGTCCCTAGTTAAGATTTGACCATCTGTTAAACGAGAACAACCTGAAGCCCTGTGGTTACTCCAGGGGATACCGAACTAAGCTGATCTAAATATTTAACCTACAGTAGTGGTCAATGAAACATCAGAAACGTTTTTTTTTTGCTGGTGGGTGGGCCAGTGGCAGAGCTATTTCCAGACAGCTTTGTCGGACTCCTCGGTGTCTGTGCGCGATGCAGCAGCACCACTCGGTGGCTTCAGGCAACTCCTCTTCATTCTCTCCGCAACACCGAGCTTGAGTCGAAATCCACTGGGAATTTGGGAAAGTCTGGAATGTTTAGTACGGTGGGTGGGAGATTGGTTTGAGACAATTCCAATGTTTTATTTTAGAAGGACAAAAGAAAGAAAAAGAATTTTTTTTTTTTTAATGCAAAATCAAACTTTTAGGATTTTCCATTATAATATTTGAAATTTTGTTATACAAATCAGCACAGGTTTCGTCATAGTATTTTGGAAATGTGTGGGTCTTTCTTATTTCAGAACTCTCCTTACTTCTAAAAAAAAAAGAAAGAGGGAAAAAACCCACATAAAGTTCTCCAATCTCTTTTTCATATCTTTCCTAGAGTCTGATGAAACTCCATGATAAAAATAGTTTTAATAATACAATGCAATGGACTGTCTTCTGAAAACCATTTTCCAACCATAAATAAACAGTACCAATCTTGAAAAGAAAAAAAAAGATTTAAACAAAATTTTATTGCATTTCTTCTCTAGGCTCTGCTACATCCCTTCCTCTTATGTGAAGCAAACTAATATCAAGATAAAGCTAATTATTTTTATTCTTCTAATTTCAGGTTGGGAAGTAGATAACTTGGGGCAAACTCATGCAGGTAAGAGCCAGTTGTGTTCACTATATCCTATGGACCTCAGTTCTCAAAACTCGTATGCTTGTGTGCTCTCTCTTGTATGTAGAGCACATGATAGTGTCAGATTATTGAAAAGTTGTTTTTGCATCAATCATTATGATAATGAATACATGTAGTTCATTTTAACACTCTGATAAAAAATGGAAGTAAAAATCTCCTAAGTTTCTAGAAATCAGTGTGATTTAACCTAAAACCACAAAATTAAACTGTCTTACTTAAAACTAATTATTTATTGTTTTTTCTCATTCATGCATGGAAATATATTTTTTTACGAATTCTGTGAAAACTGACCATACTTAAATATCTATGGACTACAAATTTACATTTCTAAATATATAATATCTGACTTTTACATTTTTACAATACAATTGGTCCTAGTTTGATTGTATGTGTTTTTAGGAAAGTGCTCATTGCATGCAGTAGCATTTTTTTAATTTTATAGGTTCAGCTTTGATTTAAACTCACAAGTAAAACTGTGTTTATTTCCTGAAAAGACAGAATCAAGTATTTATTGCCTTTGGGCTTGATCCTAACAAATAAAAATCAATTGGATTCTAGTCACTGATTTCCACAGAGACCAGTTTGAGTCCTAACAGGAAACAAAATCAAAATAATTTCATACCAAATTTCCACTTTTATAGGTGATTATGACCTGTTGGAAAGCACAGCCCAATCTCCCCTAGGTAAGACGCAGAACCACGGAATATTTCTCTTTTTATTTTAAAACTGTTAAAAAGGAAGCTCCAAGTTTTTTCTCCTGCTATTTAGATGTTATTTTCTAATCAGTTCTAATTAGAGTGACACATTCTCTGGTGCATTACTTTTAGCAGTATTACGAAAATTTATTCCTCCACTATCAAGCCTTGTAATCTCACAAGTACGTTGTTATAAATTATATGTACCTGCTTAACATTAATTACTAAATGGTGTTAAGGAAAATCAACACCATGATTCAGTGGTTATTTTCCACAGAAAACTGCAGATGAATGTGCAAGAGTAATTTACCCAATTTTGCCAAGTAATGCGATGTCCTTAAATGAATGCTGTGATTAAATAGATATATTCTGCTGCATGGACAGCAAACAGATTCTCTAAAAACAAGGTCACTGCTAGTGTTATGAGCTACTTGACTAAACTGCTCTAAGAATGCAAAGCAACACAAGCTTAATAAAAAAAATCAAAACAAAACAAAACTTGGAAATTTCCCATCAATTTTGGTCAAGGTACAGCTCAATCTCCAAAAACTGTAATAGTTTGATAAATGGAAACTGTTCTATTGTGCTGGACAGCAGTAAATGCAGCCAGCGGCTTAGCTCTAATTTTTCAACCAGGTCACTGAGCTCTGGCAAGAGTAGTGGTGTCTGAGAAGAGCACCAGGGGGGTCATCCCACCTTAGGTAGCCTTAGTAACAAAGTGAGTGTCAAGAGACACTTTCCTTTTCTACGCCCAGCTCGTGTTTCCCAACACAATTTTAAACCTTTTGACTGTGCCAGTGTCATTCAGAAGTCATTTAGAAGCTAGTCCTTACATGAGACTAGTCAAACCATTAGGGTAAAAAGAGTGAAAAAGACAACGAGGTTTTCGCTGAGCCAGTTTTGAGACTCCTTGCAAAGACTTGCTTTAAAATCAGATTATAAACTGGGATTGGAGAAGAAAAAAATAGGCAAAGGAATGTGAGTTCTGAAATAGGTTTGAAATTTTCAACTGAAGCCACACCGGGCATCTGGAGATGTAAATGAACTTATTGAAGTGAAGATAGAGGCTGGGAAGAGATCCCCACTCCATCTTTCCTTTGTTTTCATACAGACCCTTCTCACAAAGTCACTCTCAGAACAGAGCCTAAGCTTGAAGAAAGCTTGAAGATAAATAAGTGGGGTACATGTTATCTGACTGTAGGAGAACAATCCAACCGTCTCAACGTAGCCATATAATGGCTATTTTACATATCCTACAGTATTCCGCCTGGCTTCCAGCAGCTGTTCCAAAAAATCATGTTAGCCTTGCGTTTTCTTGCCAGTCCCATGCAGATGCCTCAGATATAGATCATCGTAAACAGCAGCACAAAATTCCTACATAAATTTAAGCGCTGGACTTAACCTTAGCCATCTGAAGTGTAGATGTCTCCATTGAAGCCGTATTCCCTAGATGCCTTTCAGAGCCAGTTGAGAGAAATGGACATTTAGCTGATCCCTGGTTTAGACACTCACTTGAGGATGAGATCTTTGGTGGCCTGGAGGCACTGGCTATACTGGTTAAAACTGTTTTGCCCTCTGGTGACTAGTTGTAGTAGTAGACATCCATAGTTGCCTATTGTAGAACTGGGTCATTAAAGATGTCATTAAAGTTTCAAGATGCCATTAAAGTCTCCTATGGACAGCCAGATAAATACACCTCCAGTGGTACTGTGAGGTTTTCTTTGGTCGTGTACCAAGGGGAGGGAGGGTACATCCTGGGGTGTCCTTCAGCAATGTCACCTTCCCAACTGTGATTGACACAGGGGACATCAGCAGAAATTGCACTGAAGATGGCTGGTCTGAACCTTTTCCTCATTATTATGATGCCTGCGGCTTTGACGAAAATGAAACAGAGTCCGATAACCAGGTGGGAATTAATGTTATCATTTAAAACAAATTAAGGGGGGGGAGCAGTAGGCTGCTTTTTGTCCAGCCTCTGGTCACGTTCTGGTTTGATGGTGATTAGAATGAAACAATCAGATACTCATGGGCATAAAAATGTGTGAAGCAAGAGTTAAATCCTTCCTAGCCCTGTGCTGAGTATTTCCAGAATACGAGTGTTTACCGTAAATACAGCTTGTACCTTCTAGAAGCGTGGGTTAGCCCCTAGTTCCTCCCCTATTGACTGAAGAATCCCTTAGCCAACTACTTTTTTTTCCCTACGGATACATGCCCAGTGGTCAAAAAATCACAGCCAGCCTTTGCTAGCTCGCTGACAAATAAACCTCGCAGTGTGCAGACCCAAGGGCATGCCAGACATAGAGCAATGCTCTAACATGCAGTGAGATCTCCGGGGAACCAAGAGGAGAAAACAACCAGGCTGTTCAAGAAACAAATTCTGCCTGTTGTTCCCCCTGCATGATGACAGGATAAAGAGGATGTGACCATAAACGAACCGTTTAACCAGGTGTTCTTTGTCTCCCAAGGATTACTACTACCTGTCTGTGAAGGCTCTGTACACGGTGGGATACAGCACTTCTCTGGTTTCCCTCACCACCGCCATGGTTATCCTGTGTCGGTTCAGGTGAGTCAGGACACCAGCAGCGAGCTGTTAAGTCACTGGAGGAAAGAGGCTGCAGCTCACCAGCCCAAAATGGTGTTTAGCTTTTATCTCTCCAGATGTAGAATAACAGGGAGACAACACTTGAATAAAGTTGTTCCCTCAGCTTGGACACGCTTCAGCAGTCACATTTTGGTAAACTGTAGATGCAACTGCAGAAGCTGTAGGTCTGTTTTCTGCAACTGCAGTAGCTGCGTTGGACTGGGTGTATTTTATGCTATCCTGCAAGCTTTTACAGGAAAATCCCCAAATCCTCCTCTTGGTCAGGTTTAAGTCAGCATTATCCACGCTCTTGACTTTCAGATGTTACTCTTCTTATCACCAGGGCACTAGGAGTTCTGGCCATGTGTGCAGATAGGCTTAGTGTGCTATTTCCACAAAAGTAAAGCCTCTTTTTTTTTTTTTTTCTTCATTTCTTCTCCCTTTCTTTTTCCTCTCTAGGAAGCTTCATTGCACTAGAAATTTTATCCACATGAACCTCTTTGTTTCATTCATCCTGCGTGCAATATCTGTATTCATTAAAGATGGGGTTCTTTATGCTGAACAGGATGGCAACCACTGTTTTATCTCAACGGTAAGTAAAACCAAAGACAAAATCTTTTCCTTTATTTTTTTCAGCACAAGATAACAAAAAATAGTGAGGCAGGCAGCAATCTGTTGCGTGCCATAGGCTGAGAAGCTATTGGGAGAGAAAGTAATTAGTGGTAAACTTCCCTCCACGTTCACAGTAAAACTGTGGATGGTATTGTCTCACGATGTCATTAGTGTCCAGAGGTCTGTCCTTTAGGACAAACCTAGAAGTTTTGATGTCCGACTCTGATTGCTTCTTCCTTTCACAGATCTACATAGTGATAGGTGGGATGAGAGCAGTCACAAGCAATTTCACTCATCTGAAGGTCTTTTTTTTTTCTCCAGAGTCTTACTCATTCTGGATGTCAGTCATGTGTAGACAGGGTGACCATTCAGATGTAGAAAATATGCCTGATGGTCACACTTTCAAAAAATTGTTGGTATTAGCCACGTTTTCCCTGAAGTGTGTGGTTTCACGGAAAGCAGTCTCTTTCACAGATGTGCTTAGCTATATATTACATGTAAATCCCACTTCCTTTCACGTTTAAGGCTAGTATTTGATTTGATAAAGCAATTCACTGGGTGTAATTATGATGGAATTACAGTGAGTTCCCAGACTGAGATCTCCTTTATCCATCCAATTATGAGCTAAATTCACTGTGAGTCACTTCCTCAAGGAAAGTGCAGCTGTGTAGTTTCTTAGTCAGCATTTTCTTTGTCATTTAAACTAGTTTTTGCTTTTAATTCTTCCCCATGATTAAACTGAAGCCATGTTAGAGCTGTAGTTTGTTCACACTTCTAATAGTGACATCTTCCTCTTTGTTTTGAAAGACTTGAAGCATAAAGCACATGAAAATCAGTCATCTAATGACCAGATCTTTGGCCCTGGTGGATCTTCCATGAAGAAACTCAAGATCTGATTTTTTAAATGTATTAGTTGTAGATTTTTGTCAGCCTCCCACTGCCCCAGGCAGGACCTTCCAGTTTATACACTGATTCTGCTCTGATTGGTTGAAAAGTATTACTTTTGTAGGACTAGGGATGTCTCACTGAGATGCGACACTGGCAAGACAAGTGCGTCCTACTCTCTCAGAGTCAGGGTAGAGCTTGGTTTCTACATAGAGGTTTTCATTGTAGAATCATAGAATCATAGTACCATAGAATGATAGAATCATTTGGGTTGGAAAAGACCTTTAAGATTATTAAGTCCAACTGTTAGCTCCGCGCTGCCAATTCCACCACTAAACCATGTCCCTAAGCACTGCATCTACGTCTTTTAAATACCTTCAAGGATGGTTATTCAACCACTTCCCTGGGCAGCTTCTTCCAATGCTTGACAACCCTTTTGGTGAAGACATTTTTTCCTAATATCCAATCTAAACCTCCCCTGGCACAAACTGAGGCTGTTTCCTCTTGTCCTATTGCTTACTACACAGGAGAAGAGGCCAACAGCCACCTCGCTGCAACCTCCTTTCAGGTAGTTGTAGAGAGCAATAAAGTCTCCCCTCAGCTTCCTTCTCTCCATTTCCTAAATAACCCTAGTTCCTTCTTTCATTTTAATTTTTTCTTTTGTCTGCTGCTTTCCCCCCAGTAAATGAGTGAAAGCTTCTATCCTTTTTACAGTAAATCACTTTGCTTTCTTGACACTTATGCTTGCTTTCATTTTCTGTCCCTGAGTGACGACACTTGCAAGTGGCAAGGAAGTACAGTTCTCAACTGCACACAGGAGGGTGCATCCTTTCTGATCCCACTCTCAGGGCTTTCCATAATCGTCCTGCCATTTCACATCCTTCCTTAGATTTCTCAATACACAACTGAATTCTTTTCTTCTCTGCACTTAATTCTTGGAAGGGGGCTTAAATCGAGCAATTAACGTCCATTGAGGATGCGAACTCCCACTAGCACAAGACGTTCTCAAGCTGTCTGCAGACACTCGTCGACCATCTCCCACTGGTAAAATTGGCTACCTGCCCTTTCAAGCTTCACTCTCTAAGTGGCACCTCACATTCTTCTCATGCTTTTAAAACTTTACTATTGAAAGTGTATAATACCAGACCCAGCTGTGTTCCTTTCCACTAAGAGATTTGAAGAGGCTGAAAGACTTTTTCTCTACCTGTTAGGCAGAAACAACATGAAAATAACTTTGTTTTTCTTCATTCTCTGCAGGTGGAATGCAAAGCAGTGATGGTGTTTTTTCACTACTGTGTCATGTCCAACTACTTCTGGCTTTTCATTGAGGGATTGTACCTTTTCACTTTATTGGTAGAAACCTTTTTCCCAGAGAGGAGATATTTCTACTGGTACACTATTATTGGCTGGGGTACGTGTTGTTTCTTGTCTAAAATGTGTCTCAGTGTGCAAGACGACTCCACAAACCATCTCGTATCTCCACATACAGTTTCAAAGCATAGTTTTAGTCTTTGTATAGAAGTACCACCGCAGAATGAACCATGTCGTGCTTTTTTGTCTGAATAGACTTCAACTGACAACTGGAGGACATCACATCTCTTGTAGAGATGTAGTCCACAACCGAGAATTGCCTTCTGCAAGATATGATCTTAATGCCAAGTTCTTCAGCTTAATCAAATCTGCCATGCTAAGTCTAGTCCATTTTCTAAGACTTCATTTGTGCCTTTCTTCCAGATACTAGATAAATTGAAAACATATCCAAACAGTATCCACGTATGCTCATCATACCTGGGTGGGAAATGGAAACTTGCAATGGGAAGAAACAAGAATTGTTTTGGAAAGGCCAGTTGTACAGTGACAACCAGTATTATTGGTTTTCGTACTAGCCTTCTGGAGATAAATTGATTCCTGTAACATGTTAATTCAAATAGGTCTTTGCTGACATTTTTGTGCAGAAGTCAGATGGTGAATGCAGAAGAATATATTCATTTTAAATGTACCCTAAGAAGGCTAAGCTCCATTTTTTTATTTGAACAAACGTACTGCTGAAATAATCTGGAAATAACCCTGTGTATTTATGTGTAAAGTCTACATAAAAACCATACAACTTAAACTATTCTCCTTTGAAAAAAAGTAACCCAAACTTTCAAGTAATTCACAACTGGTTTTGTTTTTTCCCTCCTGAGGCAGTTGTATATATACAAAAATTCTCATCTCCTGGCAAAAGCTCCCTACAATAGGAGCAAAGGTATAGAGAAGAAAGAAGAGAACAAGTGATCAGAAATAACCTATGACATATAAAGGCTATTGGAAAAGGATGGCTATTGGAAAAGGTTGTTGTAAAATAACTATTAGAAAAGGATGTTTGAAGTTCTCTTTTTACTATCCTTAGATGTATAATCACATTATAGCTGAGATACCAGAATGTTTTTGAAGAGAACTTGGGGGATATGTGCATGAAAATGTGACAATTATAAAAGAAAAAAAATGTGCAAATCTTTACAATCTGAACATAAATCAGAGGTTGAGCTCTTTTAATTAAGTTTGCACAAATTTCATGTCTGTAGGTTCGTGTGAATGTGAGAATGTTGCAACACAGAGTATTAACTGAATATTTTTTTAAAAAATCCCACAGTTTCTAACGAAAGAACTACCCAGATGGGTTGATTCTGTAATGCACCCTCAGAATATTTGATCATGAGTTGAATACCATAAATAAGATCTAGCTGTTCAGTATCAATAATATCCATTAATAACACTAGAAGAATCTCCAAATGTGGATGGTTTAGGGTTTGTGGGGTTTTTTAAGTATAATATTTTCTCATCTCCTGCATATTTCAACTTGAATAGCAGTTCCCCTGACCTGGTAGGAGCAATTGGCGCTTTGCAAGAACAGAAGCACTTCCAGACTCTGGATGCAAGTCATGTAGGGCTAAAGCATCTCCTCAGCTCAGAGCTGATGGGGAGAGAGTTGCATCGAGAGCTCAGCATTTTGCAGCATCTGGATATTTGCTTCTTACAATGTGCTGAGCACATCAGTGTCCTCATTCGATCAATGAGAACTACATAGGACTGTGTCGATTCAGACTTTTTCCTCTTAAATATGCAAAATATTAGTAATTCTTCAGATAGAATGCTGTCTTTTTGAGATCTCTCCTAATGCCTACTCCTTACTCAGGATAGAAATACAGTCAACAAGATTATCTCTCTTCTCAGCCCTTGGGGCTTGTCTGTTTTCTAATGTTAATCAGAAGCTGAAAAGAAAAAGATGAAAATATGTATGTCTTTTAATGTAAAGAAAAATTATGTGAGTACACGTATATTCGTATAGCAGATGGCTCAAAACTCCAAGCTTAACATGCTTTTTGAACAGTATTTTTATGACTCATTTAGTCTAATTCTGCTTTCCTGCCCATGTTTCAGATTTGGAACACCGTTCATACCATCAAAATTTATTCAGTTCAAATCAGTGCAAACCAGATAGCACGTCAGATCCATGATTGATGTTTAAAGATTATTTTTATTATTGTGCATCTGTTAAGTACGCAAAGTTCTCAACATTTTCTAGGTATTCTCATGTGAGAAAAGCAGACTTCAATTTAAATTTGATATGCATGATTTCTTCTCCCCAAAGCTTGTCATTTTATTTCTTTTTATCATTTTCCTTTCAAACATTTCTCCGTGTGCTTCTTTAAAGGAGGAGGGCTTCATCAGCCATCTAGGTCTAACAGGAATATTTTTATTTCTGATAGCAGGAATATGAGATTTGACAGAAACTCGCTTAAGTGGGTTCAGTCGGATGACTAATTAATGTGACATCAACACAGCCTTGCAAAATGTATGAAACATAATTGTTCCTGTCAACTTATGACAGTCTCGTTCACCAATGCAAGCTGGGGTTGCCCAGGTCCTTGTTTTGTTTGCTTTTTAGCACTTTATCTTTCCAGTGGTGTCTGAATAGAGGTAGGCAGTTTCCTAGTCAAAGATTTTATTTGCCATAAAACGTAGATCAAACTTACCCAGAGTTTTCTTGCAAGACTGTGTTATTTTATAAAAAAATATTTCCACTGAAAAAACACACTTTTAGTGTTTTCGGAAAGGAAAATAAATCCAAATTTCTCAGTGGATTCTTACTCTTTTGATTCAATTTGTATTTTACATGCATTTTTAAAAGAGTAAAGAAATGTCTGAAATAGAAATTAAATTCTTGCTCCCAATATTCTCTTTTGGGGGTTACTCTCCTCTACTGATTTGTTTTGGTTGAATAAGTAAAGCAAATTCACTTATTTACACAATAACAGAGGAAATGCAATATATGCAACTCATTTACAGCAAAACCACCTAAGAATACAAAGAATGCAATAATGCCATTACAGCTCAACATCTGCCACTCTGCAATTATTGCATAATTACAGTAACTCTAGACAAGGAAGCTGATGTCACTACTTTTGTTTAGTACAGACTATGTTTCAATGTTCATACAACGAGATGCAGTACAGCAACTTTGAGCGATAATGACCTAGAAAAACAAAATTCTTTCCTGTTATCAGTTTTGCTCCTGCAATCCCACCAAGACTAACCCATCCTCTGACTGCGACAGATGCTTCTAGAGCTCTGAATTGATGTAATTACTTGCATTTTTTCATGCACGGGTGCTATTAGGAAACACAAACTCAGTGGAGAAGTTGCAAAAAGTGCTCATTGCTGAGTATTAAACACGTCTAGACTGCTAACGATATCACTGTCTTATCTTCTGCAGGTACCCCAACAATTTGTGTCACTGTCTGGGCAGTGCTGAGACTTCACTTTGATGATACCGGGTAGGTATCGCTGTGTGGGAAATCATTTCATGTGCATTCAGCGTGATGGCAAAGATGAAACAGAAAAATAGTGATTTGTCTGTGCAAGTAGTTTAGGTCCAGTGTGCAACCTAGAGTGCTTTCCTCTGCAGCTGCATAAATAGCCATATTTCAGTGTCTATGTCTCTATTGCACTGGTGAATTCATGAGAGAAGATGTAGGCATCTACCCTGTAAATCCGCAGCTAAGCCGGTGGCCCTCTGTTCCCTGCTCCGTTAAATTAGTGGAGTCCAGGATATGGTTTATCTCTTCTTAAAAGAGCTGTCAGGTGAACCACACCAGTGATTATCTTCTCCTCTCCGACTGATTAGGAAGACAAATGTCTTCAGCTCATCTATAGAAATTATTGCAAATATCTCTGATGTGATGAGTGAAATCTGCACAAGGAGCTGCTGAGGTTTGATTTACAAAGGCAATTAGAAGTTTAGCTTCCCCTTGGAGAGTTTTTTGCCACAAATCTAGCAGGGGAGATGAGTAGAGATGAGACAGGAAGTCCACATCCTGTTATTTGCATGAAAAAAAAAGAGGAAATGGAATAATTTCAGAAAGCATCCATTAGGGTGTATTCCACCCAAGTGGTCTTCTTCTGTAAGGAAAAATCCTGCAAAGATCCTATATCTTTTTCTAGAGGACCAGAAGGAAAGGCTGTTCCCAGAGATGGCCCTGCAGATCCCAGTAGTCAGTAGATTGACTGGTCTGATAGAGCAGCAGACATAGCTGGTAGGAATGGACATGAATGTGCACCTTGAAAATACAAAGTTAGCAATGTGTTTTGTGTTGGTTTTTTTTGACAGCTATGTTTGAAATCAGTGAAATGTTAGAAAAAATGCTGGGAGTGAGAGAGACTGAAGTTGGACTAGATTGTAGGTCTCTTCCAACTGGTATAGTCTGGTCTGGTCTGGTCTATTCTATTCTGTTCTATTCTACTCTAAAATTTGGAAAATCCAGCAGTGATCCTTTAAAAACTTTGATCTGAGTAAAAAGCATCATTATGTACCCAAGTCCCATTTCCAAGAGACTTAGGCTTATGTTTTAATTTCGCCTTGTACTAGAGATACTAGGATCCAAAATCTTCACAAGACTCACTGTTCTTTCAGATTTTCTTCATCCTTGTTCTGCCACGCTTTTTATGTGCTCTTCAAGCACATAAAGCCCTTCCTCCACTGGGGAAGCCAGTGCTTTGACCCAATGTTCTATTTTGACATTAAGACAAATTAAATCATTTATTTCCATGCAAAACAAGCCAGAAACCCCTGTTGTGTCATTATTATGATTACAACACTGGTCCTCAATGCATTAATTTATCTTAGGAGTCCAAACAGTTCTTGCATTTTGTGGGTAAGGGGAAGGTCTTGCAGGAGGAAAATAAGAAAAAAAAATAAACCAAACAAAAAAATCCCTTTCTTTTAGTTAGAGAAGCTATTTAGCATGCAACACATTTAGACAGATTCTAGCTGAGTGTCTCAGTGGTTACTTTTTAAAAATCAGCAAGCATTGTTCTGGGGGTGGGGGAGAAGCCAGCATGAGCCTGAAAACATTGCAGAAATTACTGAACTGGGAAACCACAGTCGCAAAGGCATGGACTAAAATACGGAGTCTGAGTCTGAGACTCCTCCTTGCTTGCTCCTTACAAAACTGGCAGAGCTCCCTTGACTTCAGCTCCTGATTCACATCACTGTAAGTGACAAGTTTGTGGAGATGAATGCAATTGTCTGCTTATCCAGAGCTGAGCTACTGAATTAAATAGAGTTATTCCAGATGTACACCAGAGATGTAACAGAGATCAGGCTCTGGCCTTTTCAAATGGAAATTACATCCCTCCCTCAGCCCACTGGCTCTCTTCCCTTCATCCACCCTGAAAAAGAGTCCTGTGTGTCTGACCTCCACTATAACAATGCATTGGAAAGAAATTAAGGAGCCTGTTTAGGTAGTACATCTTGTTGGCTGATCCTACAGACTTCTGTTGTGCATTGCCTTTTTTTCCTTCTGGTCATGTTCATCTGAGGAGAAGATGGTGTTTCTTCCACCACATCCATCCTGTAGATGTCACAGGGACTAGACTAAACAAGTCCTTGAAAAAATCTTTGTGTGAGCTCGATCTGATTCATTGTTGACATCTGCAAGGTAGACACTGGCAACTGAGCTTGCTGAGGACACTTACTCTAAAAGGAGAGGAATAGATCTAAGAAGAATAGGCATTTGTAAGAGATGATGCATCAGCCCAGAGTACACATTTAAAATACATTAGTGTGGAAAAAAAACCAACAACCTCCAAGTGTCTATTTGTCTCAACCAGAGAGCAGGATAATTTGCTGAGCTGTAGATGTCTCCAATATAGGTGGAACTAGAGCAGGTAGATTCCATCCCCTGTAATTTCTCATTTCGACACAGACAACTTGCCTGTGTTTGTGCAGGCAAGAAATGCACAATGCCTGTTTGTGCAGCCAGATTTATATTAGAATTTGCCCAGATTCTTCCAGCATTGGTCAACTCACTGAAGATTTTCAGGGTAGATTTAATATGCATATTAGAGAGGTTGAGCTCTGCAAATAGTGGGTAATTTTTGGAAGAGAGTACTTAATTTATAAATGCATACAATTAATTAGAAAGAGAATTGATGATTTTAGATCCTTTTGTTTTGTAACATACAATTGTTGATAACTGAAGAGAGTCTGATTTCCAGACTGTGGATGAGAAGGTGTTCCCTCTGAACATTTGTCTCCTTTCAAATATTTTAAGTTGGGCATCCAAATGAAGGTAACTCAGAAATGTTTCTTCAGATTTGAAAATCTCAGCCATCAGTCCCATAGATTCTGGGGGATTTTAAGTTTCAAGGCTTTGTAGATAGAAAGAAAAATATGTAATTTTTTGCAAATTTAACATCTCTAAATTTTCTCTCTTCTCACCAGCTCTACCACACACTACCTAATTGTTAATTTTATGGCAATGCAGTAAAATATTGTATATATAAGTTCAACCAAAACTTCTAAACCAGACATCACTCAGCTGCTTGGAATTTCTCTCACATGCACTTTGATAACAGAATTTTAGCTCTGCCTCCTCACACTTACACATGTATACAGTTTTGTTTAAAGATTTTCACTTTTCCCCCAGATACTACCAGACTACCATTTAAATGACACAGAAGTTGCATTAAGCTCTCGTAAGATCAGCAGTGTTTTATTTCTGTATGCACTTTCAAATTGTTACTTGGCATCTGATAAATGCACCATGACAACCACTGCTGGGACTTTTGGCTGTTGTCCCAGTGGGAGGGAAACCCTGCTTCCCAGAACTGCAGGTACAAAATAGACGTTTTTTCTGTGATTTTATGTTTTCCAGAGGGAAGTATGAAAGATAGAAAGTGGAGACAAATAAAAGACATCTTTTAACTGACAATCAAATTCTTTATGACTAAAAATAGTGTAGTGGAGATGGTGTGGCAGGGAAGATAAGATTTTTTTTTCATTATTATTAGTTTTCTAGCTTTAAAAATACATGCTAAGGTTAAAAACCCATACATATATGGGTCCTGTAATTAACTTTCTCTACAAATGAATGTCCAAATGCATCTCTATGGAATAAACTTCAGCAGAATCTTTTGGTGAAACTGGAGGAAGATTTTAAACTCTGCGGTAGAAATGCCATTTTATTTATGATCGCTCACTCCCAACAGCTTAAAGAGGGAGCTTTGCCCAATTGTTGTCCAGTACCTGAAGCTTAGCTGAATCCTTGTTCCTTGGTAGGACTTGCAACCCAATAACTGGAAAATCATTCCTGTATATGAATACAATCCATCTCTAGTACATCCTCATGTACTAGATATGTGTACAAATCCTCATGTCAGTGTCAGGAACCAACAGTCGTATCTGTTTACCCTGGAAAAGTAACTGAGACATCAAACTTTGAATGACCATCTCTTACCCTTCAAGATATCCCTGTCTTTTTTCCCTTCTATTAAGATGTCAGCTTAAAGGGAAAGTTTTACAGTTATACTGTCTATAGACACAGAAACATACATAAAGGCATTTTCCAAATGGCTGAACTGTTTAGTAAGAGGTGCCATTGATTTTGCCACAAAAATACATTTTTTTTTTTCAAGTAAGTTGGATACAGGCTGTAAAAGGAAGCTACAACAGAGACAGACTGAAGAACTATTACCTTTGAACCCAAATAGAATAATTTAATTACAAGACCAATCTCCTACTTTCTGTCCCCTTAAAAAATGTTATAAGTTTATTAACTCCTTGTTATATCTTTATCTTTCTCTTTCCTTCTCTTCCCCCCACCCATTCTTTCATTAACGACTGCAGCTGCTGGGACATGAATGACAATACTGCCTTGTGGTGGGTGATCAAGGGTCCTGTAGTTGGATCGATCATGGTAAGTAGCACTCGGAGGAGGTGCTTCCTCAACACTTCTGAGGGCAAATAACCGATGCCAATAGCTTCAAATGGCGATGGGGCCTCTCCTTTTAATTATTTGAACAGCTCTCTAAAGTGCGATAACCTTCAGACACGTTAAAGGTAATTCAGCTAATAACACTGAAGGATGTCAAGATGGAGAGGGTCCAACGGTCTGGGGTTTTTGTGACATTGATGTATGTGAGTTTCCGTGCTTTACAGACATATTCTATGAAGGATCATATTTTGACTTCAGTTATACCTGGCTTCTACTGAAGGCACGAGTCAAGCAACTAGCAAGGGACAAGTGGGCTTCTCCATTCATTCATAGTCCTCAGATCATATAGAAAATTCTTCTGAAAGAGATGCTCACATCTAGTTTAAGTTCTTGGTCTCCTTACAGGAGTAAAAGGTTGCATAAGGCACCAGTTTAAATTTCTCACTGTTTTCTTCTGGCGTTAAGAAGCTACGGAGTCAGTGACAGCCAAATCTGAAGCCAAAGCATTGAAATAAACTGGTTATATTAATCTCCAAAATTTTAAAACTGTATATATAATTATATGATTCTGTGAAAGAGAAGATGCCCAGGATGACATCAGACTAAAAGGCATGAAGATGAACATCAACATCCATGCCCCTGCCCCCACACCTCCCCTCCCAAAAGCATTAGACAGAGGGAAAGTGATATAATTTGGGATTTTCAGGAAAAAGGAGAACCTAAATTGTGGCTGAGAAGTTCCTTAGTTCAGAGAATGGGAGTTACAGATACTTTTACTGTTGAGATCTGTGCTCTATGGTTTTGATGTGCAGGGATCTTTCTTTTTATTCTTTGCACTTGTTAATAATGAAAACTGTTGAAACCTTTTCACTTATGTTTATGTGGTGCTTGTGACTGAATAAATTCTGCCTTACTTTAGCTGCTGAAAGAGAGGTATTTTTCTCTGGAAAAGGGGTGATAAGACCCTTGCAAACTTATTTCATTAATCCTGACCCTGTTAGACTTCTAGACTTTGGTTTGGAGACAAATAAGGCAATGGAGCCAGGAAGTCACTGGGAATATCTCATTCTCATACTTGAAAAAAATACATCATTGTCATCATTTTTTCCTTTCTTTTTCCCATAGATAAACTTTGTGCTTTTTATTGGCATAATTGTGATACTTGTGCAGAAACTCCAGTCACCAGATATCGGGGGCAATGAATCCAGCATTTACTTGTAAGTACAAAAAAAGCAGTAATCAATTTAGATTTCTAATATACACATAGGAAAAAAGGCAAAGTCAAAAAGACACCTCAGCTGAATTAATTTGATTTTCAAGAAGAGTCACATATTGAATTGCTTTGGTGGATTTTTACTTTTTTTAAATCCAAAAGCCACTAAAGTGCATTTTAATGCCATCTTTCACCTTTGTTCAAAAGGCCCAGAAAATAAGCTTAAATATGAGACTAAAAACAAACAAACAAACAAAACTTATTTACAGGTCAATTTTCCAGAGATTAACATACTGACCAGGCATAAATAGTATTATACTCATGGGACAGTCTGCTGTGCTTCATACATTCCAGGGACCTGGTCCAAAGTTCATTGACAGCAATGAGATTTGGCAAAAAGATTTCACTAACTTTGGACTGAATTCTAATTTAGGAATTTCTCCTGAAGTTGCTTATATTCATTTTTCTTGTAACCTTGAATACATTCTACTTAAGCCAAACAATTCCCCACACACACCTAGAATTGCTCAAAATGACTCAAAATTTGCACAACAAATCCCAAAATTTTCCTTTAAAAGTTTTAAAACTTCGTGGTTTATACTTTTTTAAAGCTGACATCATGTTTTTTTGCTGGTTTACACCTCATTAGAGGACAGAGATTGGCCATTTGAGATCGTCATCATAGTCATTCCCATTTTGAGTGCATGCAGTCATTCTCCATCTAAAAATTATATAATAATTTTGAATAACTAGGATATGTGGCAGCACATCTGGTGTTTTCTTGGCTTTTCAGCCTAAACACCATGCACATTTGTTTATCAATTTTTTATTAGCTTTTGTGATTTCTAACACTCATAAAGATGGATAAGTCTATTTGATTTAGCACTAGTTTCCTGGTGAAAAAAAGGCAGGTGATGCAAACATTAAATAAAAATACAAGATGCCAGGGTCGATTAGGAGATCCTTATTTTGTAGTATTTTTTTTTAAATTATCCAGTGATCAGATTTGCCCTAAGTAGCCACACTCATAGTATAATGACATCATGCATCTAAATTACTATTTTCAGGGGAAAATATGTTCTTCAGCTGCCTATTTTTCTTCCCTTCTTTCCTACAGTCTTGTTTACATTCACATGAAATAATATTTTATGCACCACTTTTTCATGTCTGTAGTCAGACATCCACTTACTGAAAGTACTGCCCTTGAAGCTTGCTCTAAATTGTGTTTCCACAGACAAAAATAATACTTCAAATTCATTGTACAGGTGGATATATGTCAGAATTAAAACTCAGGAGAAAGCACAGTGAATAAGTTAACTGTATGCATGATTTGCCTAGGGCTTGCATGAAGACTTCCCATGTATGTGCTGCTGGGAAGTCGTCTGCTGAATTTTAGATTGTAATTAGCAGCCAAGATGTGCAGAGCTAGTTCTGATTATGAACCTGCCAAATGCATGCTTGGTGTCTGCTGCACATCTCTCACATCTCTAACATATGAAGCAAAACATGCCATAGACTCCAGTGATTTAACTAGATTATAAAACATCCTTGTCATTTTTGATCAATATGGTGACTGGGTTTTACTGATATTTTTCCTATGTGTATAGTTAGCCACCAAAACCAAGAGAAAACATCATATTTTCTGTTTCATTCGCTGCCATTATTTTTCATATTTTTTTGCAACTTTATAAATGGGTGTGTATAAATTGATCTTGCATTTATGTATGTGTTATGGAGTGGAGTGTTGTTTATCCAAACAGATTCGACAACAGAGAAGTCATAAAGAAATAATAAAAAGAAATTAAATGAATAAGTCTATGCAGATATACACCAGGCATATTCAATATTTGTGCACATATCCTGTAAAAAGACAATTGTTATACCAAAGAAAAAAGATATGGTTATGTCACCATATTGAAATCTCTGTGGCGTTTAGACTACAGTCCATATTAAGCATTTCCCATGTTCTATTTTACTGTTTCAAACTATTAAACATCATCCTATCAGACCAAATTCTCCATCCAGATCTTTATCCCACAATGTATTTAAGTACTTTGCCTTTAATGCATCAGATAGATCAATTGTGGTTGAGGAAGGATGTTCAGCCTGTTTCTGAAGGTAATATCTGCAGTAGTGATTGAGATTTACTCTGGTATCAATCTTCCACTCCTTTGAATATCCCTTTAGCCAGGACTTTCATCGTCAAGAAACAAAATAAAAGACCTCACAAAAATTAGGTTATGGATTTTAGGTAGGATTTATTTTCTTCTTATATATGGCACATCTTTAGTTTCGGGCCCTTTTAATGACTGGGTTTTTTTAGGAAAATACCTCCAGTTATATTTTGTAAACACTATAGTTATGGCTCTGCAAATCACTTAAGCCTGTATTTGGCTTTAAAAGCCTTGGGGATGTGCTTAAACTGGAAGATTAATTATATGCTGTTACCACTGTGCATTCATTATTAAAAATTCCCACTACTGAAGTTAACTGTGAGCTATGGCAAGAACACAACAGAAGAGTGCACTGCTGGGGAACTAATGTTTAATTAATATAGTGTAGCCACTAGAGACTGTACGACTTGCTTTAAAAACCCCAAACAATAATTTGTATAATTTACAGCACAATAATGAGTGCTTTACTCCCATAAAAATCAGACTTTCTCTCTAAACAACCTGATGATCGTTATGTGCAATAGCCTTTAGGTTGACAAAAGCTTGGAAACATGTAGCTAATTCTTAGCAATATTCTGCAACAGTCAAATCCGTTAGTGATTGTAAACTCCCATTTCATCAACTTGTACGTTCAGTCATGGTCAGTCGTTCACTGCCAGTCTCATGCCTAATCCATCTTTCTTCGCACGTTTGGTTCCTCCTCAAAGCTGCCTTCATGCTGCTGATCTCACTTCAGACTTGAGAGGCTCAAAACATGCCAGATCCTGAGACAACAATAACTCCATCCTTCTTTTACTGATGTTTTAGACAGAAACTGCTCCTTATGGCTGAAATGATTGGGGGCTAGATTCATCAAAACTATCTAAGCAGCTGAGCCAGGAATTAAAAAGGAAAGAGAAGCCACCTTATTTAATGTTCATTTTAATTTTGTGATTCCTTTTGATTTTTTTTTCTGAGAATCTTGAACAGATTTCATACTTCCTTCCGGTAGTCATCATAATCATTATTTACTTTTTAATGTTAGGAGTGAACTGCCAAAGGCATAAAAAAGATACAACTTTGTTTCTTAAGCAGTGTTCAGTTTCATTTAACATTGTGTCAGTCCTCAATAATTCCACCAAATTAAGCATCAACCCAAAGCAAGTTGAATCATAGAATCATAGAATGGTTTGGGTTGGAAGGGACCTCAAAGATCATCCAGTTCCAACCCCCCTGCCATGGGCAGGGACACCCTCCACTACACCAGGTTGCCCAAAGCCTCATCCAACCTGGCCTTGAACACTTCCAGGGATGGGGCAGCCACAGCTTCTCTGGGCAACCTGTTCTCAGAGTGAAGAATTCCTTCCTTGTATCCAATCTAAATCTCCCCTCTTTCAGTTTAAAGCCATTGCCCCTTGTCTTATCACTACATGAGTAGTCCAGTAATGCAAATGCAATTGATTTTTATTTGAGTGAGAAGTTCTGAGATCCTCAGGTGCTGGGGAAGCGTAAAATAATATCGATTATCTTCCTAGTGTAATTAAGACAACTATCTGCATAGTTCAGGAAGGTTTCTTGACCTATCAGGTGAGTGAATTGCATGAAAAATTGTAATGTGTCATGGTCATGGACATGACATACTTAATCCTGTAGTGCAAATGACAATGTCTTATATTTGTACCTGTATATTCTCTCCAGTTAGATATTACTTAATGTGCTTTCAAATAGAATTTTTTAATTTTTAGCAATCTCCAATAGCACAGTTTGTAAATTTTTTGGAGTAGTACCAGGTTGTTTAGGGACACTGTTACACTATATTCTGCAAGCCAAGTAGCACCACATCAGGACTCCATGAATCCAACGTGCACTCGCAGTTCTGGGGACTGGAAACACATCTTCACAACCCTACTATGGCAGGTTCAGCACACAGTGCATCATATCAGGCACACGTTATTTGCATGTATTTTCATACATCAGTCTCCTGTCTGGAATTTCAGGAAACAGATAATAACTATATCTGGCAAGGCTTCATTTTTTTTCTTCCTTGAGAAATCCAGCCAGTAGAGTGCAACATGGTATGTTAGCATCTGCTTCGAGGCGTTCTGGTTTTGGTCAAGTAGTAGAGCGAGTACATTCACCCTCCAGAAAAAGGCATATTCCTATAGAAATGCCTATACAAGCTTAAATCCACACTCTTGTTTTCATGAGCATTGTTGCATTGCTGAGTCGTAATAGGCAGAAGATCACCTAACAGCATCACTACCATAAAGCACTACAGTAATGAAGTAAGTGTGCATGATGCAGATGCATGCTGGAATAACGTTAAGATGAAAAAGACCCACACATTTCCATCAAGGCTTTGCTTATTCATTCATTTTCAGAGGTCAAACGCATTTAACTGGCAAAGCTTTCTTTTTTTTTTTTTAACTTTAATTTCCAGTTTATCACAAACAGTATAATTTGGGAGGGGGAAGCTTGTTTCTGCTTTTGCTTTGACAGATTCTTCATAACTTTTGTATCACATGTTGAAAACTCAATGAAAAGAAAATAAACCCCACATATATCTAGCTAATTCAGGTCTACTCATTCCTCCAATCAGCATCTTGCTGGAAAGAAAGGAGAAACATGGCATATATCATAGGTAGGTACGATTTTAAATATGGTGCGACCTAGAGGGTTAGGGCAGGAGAAGCAATGTTGTAACACAAATGTTTTGGTAAACAACACTCCTCTACAGTTCACCTACAAAGTCACTGGGCACTCAATGATTCATTCTGCTACCGCTTTGTCTTGCTGCAAGTGCTCAGACTGCCAGCATTAATAATTATGGACAGGATCTCCATGCCGAAAG